AATCAATTTTTATTTGAGATATATAAAACGAATACATGTCATTGATATAATATAAATGATATAAAATTATGCGATTTGGTTTAATCACACTAAATCACATAATTTCCGTGTTCCTGGTCGACACCCATATGGGTAATTATTTTTGGATTCAGACCAAATGTTATTACGTCATATATAAAATTTGTCTGGGTTCAAAAATAATTACCCATATTGATAGAATTAAAATAAAACAATTTCGGTCAGATTCGGTTATGTGGTCATGATATTGCTAGTGCTATTTTTGCTACTATTAAAATCCGATGGCTCTGCTTTAGACTTATCCATTAAAAATCCGATCAGCACGTATTATGCATAATGTATAATACGTCGCTGATCGGAATTTTAATGAAATGTAATTGAAAGCCCAATGACAAGTTTTCCCCTTGACTACATTTATATTAAACCGTCCGTGATTTCTTTCCACTATAAAAGATTGTTACTAGTACTATAAATAATTTAGGAAAATTTTCTATTCGTACATTACGTATATTTACATGGGTGTTGTTATTTCTCAATTTTATACCTTTTTGTTCTAACTAAAAAGGTTCCTTGTACAAATTTTGTATAAATTACGGTTTTTCACTAAGCTCTAAAATTATCCTTACTCTAACATTAAATGAACTGAACTTTGTTAATAAAGTTGTAAATTACTGAATGTGCAAAAATTTTTCCGTATCTTAAAGATTAACAATGTGTGCGCTTCACACACATAGGCTTTAAGATTAGGCGGAATGCGAAAATTAAAAATTTTAATTTCATATATGGTAATAAGTTAATGTGTTGTAAAAAATTGATGCGTAAATCACATAATTAGAAATTAATATTTATCGTTACATAATAAAATAATTGTGAAGATAATAAAAAAAATTTATGTGCGCCGCGGCGCGCCAAAACCTATATACAATGTGCAATTTTGATGCTGAATTTCAACACTGCCGTGTACATATATTACGAGTAAGCTGCCAAGAAAATTTCAATTGGAGATAAAATCATTCATAGTTATATTAATTCATAGTTATATTAAAAACCATTACACAATAATTTAAATTTTTTATTTCATATTCGTACTATGAATTTATTTGTTAAAGTTTCCAGGGATCATGACGATGCGAAATAAAAAATGGGAATATTTAATAAACCATTTTATTAACGCGAATCATTCGTTGGATTTTAAATTTTAAAACCTTGATGTAAAAAAGTAAATTGTATTTTTCAATAATTATTAATAATAATCATAATGGCTTCAAAATTTAAAACACTTAATAAAATTGCACTTTTTATTATATTATCGATTCTTTATTTATTGCCTTCAGAGGCATATTTCGCTCCACGATCAGAAGTAAAAGATGGATGTACGAAATTAGGCAAAATAGTCAAAAACATTGAAACGCCTAGTTATGAAGATGTTAAAGCATGTTACGAAGGAATTAAGTATGATGATGAACGAGCAAAACAAGTAAATATCATTAATATAATTCTTAATTAGCATGTATTGGACGTATATATATATTAATACGAATTATTTTCATAAAAGTTGATTGATGTAGTAGAAGGAATTATGTCAAATTTTTATCCTTTTTTTGACCAAGCTAAAGAAAACCCAGAAAATGGTTATAGTTTTGAGCCTATAGACTTGACAAAAGAACTAAACTCATTACGTCACGGGCATTATAAATCTGATTTTGAATTCATAGTACGTATATTGGTCTTTGATTGTACTATAAAACATTCTTCATTACATCCTGAATAGTCATACATAAAATATTAATCTGCGGTCTTTTAAATAATTAGACGACCATAAGAAACCTAATCTCACAATTAAAAGATGCACATACGCATTTGGACATCAACTGTTATAACAGATTTTTCTTTTCACAAAATTTAGCCATGTATTCAATCACACAAAATAATCAGCAGGTATATAACAATTCTATGCAAGCTAGATTAATTATTTTGAAAGCTAATTAATAATTACTTTATTCAACATAATAACAGAAAATTAAGGTACATATTCTTTTTATTTTACACAGTGAATAATATGCATACATATTATTTTTAAATAGTCTTATATCAATTAGATCATGGAAGACGATTTAAACCCATCAAATAAGGGTTGTGAAGTAATAGAAATAAATGGTCAGGATGCTCTAAAAGTAATCAAAAAATTTGCTAACGAGAGTGTCGTAGGCTCAAGAGATCTGGGTGTCCGATTTAATTTAGCATTGACTTCTCTCTCTAAACAATTTGGTTCTTGGCTTAGCGCTAAAGGAACTGATCAATTTGTACAAAGACGCGATTTACCAGAAACCCCTACTATTACTTATACATTATCTTGTTCCGAAAAAAAACGCACTCTAGTCAGAAAATGGAGTTTAACAACCGCCGGGGATATCAATGATTTTAAAGATACTAAAAGCTATTTTGAACAAAATTGTTTACCTAACCAAGATAATCCAAGAGTAAATCCAGGAGAAGAAGTTGATGTTCGCTTGATTGGTGACATTGGTGTTGCAAGAATTGGAACTTTCAGTTTTGGAACTCGTAAACTACTTGAAATGAAGAAAGGTCTTCAATACTTATCCAATAAGGCTAAAAAGGTATAAAAAATTGTACAAAGCAATAATATATAACTTTCGTTACATAAATTAATTTTTACTTTTAATAGCTTGTTATAGATTTATCAAATAATGGAGGTGGTGTTGTTGGCTTTGCCCAGGTCATAAGTGCACTCCTACTTCCATCAAATGGCTTTTTTCCAGACGACGTAAAGATTACAAATATTTCTAAG